TGATGTTTGCCCAGTCCTGACTGTAGAATTACCAATCTTTGGAAGTTTAGCAATTGTCCTTTAGTTGAGGCAGTGAGAAGAACAGGCGTAATGAATGCGAAGAACTGAATTTATGTCGTCTCGCTTGAGGCATCCCAGGTCATCAATTATAGTCAACTGGCATTTAATCCTGAAATAAATATGAAAAGGGGTCTCAGCAGGCACCAGTGGAGCTCCTGGAGATGTAGCTGTCCAACTCCAAGACATGTGCCCTGAGGTGAGGTGATTCCCACTCAAAATGCCTTCCTGGATGAATGCTAAGTGGCTTAATCAGGTCTTTGCAAATTGTTTTGCGAACGGCCACACTGTTTGCTACCTTCACTCCCCATTGCTGGCAACTGTAAACTGCAAATCCCAGTATGGGATTTATCTTACACTAAGTCTTCTTTTACAGGCAATGAGAAAAATCAGTTGCATTTTTAGCACTCTTCATGTGTCTTAATCTCTGTTAACTCATCATTAACTCCTCTGTGTGAACAGTTTTGTTGATTGCAAAGAGGGTTCAGGGTCTGTCTCCCCAGGCAATCTCAGTGGAGCTACACTGGATGGTGTAAATGAGACCTAGGAGAAGTTTCTTGTAGGCTGCTAGACAGGTAGACTAAATGGGCTGAAGAAAGTATGACATATGCATTTTGGGGGTTGCCTTTTACCTTTCCAGTTAATGACAGGCTGAGTGGGTTGGGGTTGTTTGTCCTGGAGAAGCAATGGCTCCAGGGAGATCTTAGAGCATCTTCCAGGATCCTAAAGGGGCTACAAGACAGCTGGAGAGGGACTTTTGACATGGAAATGGAGTGATAGGACCGTGGCTTTAAACTGAAATAGGGCAGATTTAGACTGGATATCAGGAAGAATTCCTTCCCTGTGAGGGTGGTGAGGCCCTGGGACAGGATCTCCAGAGAAACTGTGGATGCCCCATCCCTGGAAGTGTTCAAAGCCAGGTTAGCTGGGGCTCTGAGCAACCTGGTGTAGTGAAAGATGTCCCTACCCACGGTAGGGGATTGGAACTGGATGATCTTAAAGTCTCTTGCAACAAAAACCATTTGACGATTCTATGAATGTAATATTTTCTTTATTTTTTATTATTACAGTGGTGCATAGTGGGAAGACAAGAGGCAAAGCGTATAAACTAAAACAAGGGGTCCAAATGGATTGAGACAGTCAAGTATTACCTGCCAATACAGTTGCTCAAAGAAGTTGTGTTGACTCTGTCAATGGAGATTTGGTTGGATACAGCCATGACCTCATGACTGACCTATTTTGGGGGACAGGTTAAATGAGAGATCTCCTGAGTTCCCTTTCAACCTGATTTTTTCTATGATTAAAAAGTTACATGTGTTAATATACAAAATTTATTCATACATGTCTCAAGATCATTAAGAAAATGTCAGTTTGGTTTGATTAAATCATCTGCCTCAAAATATGGGAATGCTTTTGAGGAAAGAATAGAACAGTTCTAGAGAAGCTTTGAACTGCTGTTAACTAAAACTTTCCTTAATCATATCTACAAAGATTTGTCTTGTCTTCTGGAAATTCAGATGTAGAAAGATGAAACACAGTCCAAGTGTTCCATAGTAACTTTGGGTGCTGCAGTTGGTGCAGATTTCCAAGGTCCATGTTGATATTCTTGATTCCTGAAATAAGTACTGGATATACAAACATCTGGATCAGTCTAGAGCCCCTAACTTTGCTCCTCCAGGTGCTGGATATTATCTCTGAATAACATGCAAAAGTATGCAGAAATTGCCTTCACTGAAGACAATAATAACAAAAATTCAGCTGTTCCTTTAAGATAAGGATTTTCACATGCAGTATTCAAATCACTTTTATTCCAGTTACTTAGGAGATAATTTCTGTACATGTTACGAAAACCTTTTTAAATCAAAGGGACAGTTTCAACAGTCAAGAATTGCAATCTTCCAAGCCAAAGAAACCAAAAAAATATAATGAGGTAATCCTGGCCACTCTGATCATACTAATTACCTTGGTCAGGCTGAACACAATAATAGTCAACGTTTTTCACCTCCTTTTGTAAAAGATCATGAATCCAGAAAAGCAAATAATTGAGAACAACTTTATTCATTAATGGGGATTGAATTGGGGTGACTGTAACAGCAAGAAAAGGAGAGAAAACATCTTTGACAATAATCTTATTTCCCAGTCTATTCACAATGAGTATTCCTAAAGAGGAAAACACATTTGGAAGAAAGCAGCCTCAATTTGGAAATCTGCTACATTTTTTGTATTTGAGAAATAATTCATAGAAAATACATTTTACAGCTGAAAGAACAAATTATAAACAATTTTTATTTGGTTTTGGATTTTAATTTATATTATTACTCTTCAATGATAGTGATTTCATTATTGTTTTCTGGTGTTCAGGCAGCCAAAGGACAAGAAAATTTTAATTTTCAAGAGATATTAAATAGCACACTATTTAGTAGGTATTTCAACTCTTGAGAAAAGGCCAAAATGGTACTTTGTTTCTTCTGCGACATAAAGGGCAAAAAGGGTTTTGCATTAACATTTTTTTCTTCTTTAGGTCAAATGGCTCCATCTAGACCTGGTCACATAAAAAAACAAATGCATCTCACCTGCACTTTGTATACTATCCTCCCTGAGACTATGAGTAACAGAAATTATTTTGGGGATATTTCTAAAGATGCTTGAATGAATCAAGAACATTTTTTTTCTGGATTACTCCCTTTTTGATAATCATTAGATTTTATTCAGCATTAGGCTGAGTAGTTCAGAATTCCCCACAAATGAGAAGTGTAGTTTAGCCTTTCACTCCATCACTTGCAGCTGCTCTCAGTGGAAATTTTGCTGCTGACGTGTGAGGCAGCAAGCTCAGGACTTGATTTCCTTTCCTTAACGTTTGTTCACCTGTGGAGCAACTTATAAAACCACCAGGAGAGATTCCCCTGCCTTCTCTCCAGCTCTCACCAAGGACCTGCAGGCTGTACGTGCCCTCACGCTTCCTTCTACCTCCCCATCCTTGGCTTTAGCCAACAACCTCTAGTCTTCCTAAATTTTCCTCTGCCTTCTAGTAGTCTTGAGGGAGAATGGTGTGACAATCAAAGTTTCTTTTCTGGGATTTGCAAAACGATTTCATGGAAGGGAGGGAGAGAAACTCACAAAGAAACCTGCAATGAACGCAGAATTTCAATGGTGAACTTTTGAGATCAGGTAAACTTTTATGGAAGTGGAGGGATGAGCATGTTTGGATGATTTGGCACAAAGCAGAGTAAAGTAATTATTGTATTCCCTCCGTGCATTGCACAGAAATTGCATCTTTTCATGCATCATCCACAGCTCTCATTACTGATACCACAACATTTAAATTACTCTGAAACAAAAGAAACACCACTTTGTCCAGATGAAGACTTGAAAATTTATGAGTGGATGCTACAATTTTATTTTTGCCCTGATACTATGCACAGATTCCAGGTTGTTAACCTGAATGTTGAAAAGTGTAAAATAATGAGTATTCTTCCCTGAATGTCATATTTCTCTTCCAGAAATGACGCTAATTTGTGCTGGGAGCAAGGGTTATTTTTCATATTCATAATTTTGTGTGCTGCTCTAATGGGAGAGGCAGGCAGACCGCAAAAATGAAGCGATTTCACTGCAGTTAGTTTGTCACTGGCCTCCAGCTGTTGTTCTCACAGCAGTGGTTTCCTGCAGCTCAGCAGTGTGAGGTCAGCTGAAATCATGTTGTATCTGGGGAGAAATGGAAAGGCTTTCCATGGCAGGGGGAGGTACAGCCAGCACACAGGGGGTAAAATTGCTTCCACTATAACAAAGCCTCTTGACTCACACTGTGCTGTCCTGGAATGTTGTGTGTAGTGTCTGGAAAGGAAAGGTGGAAGAGCAGGTTATCTGGCAGGAGGACAGCTTGAAATTTTCAAGATTAAGCTCTGAGTGCTAGTTATGGAGTTAACTTTGAAGGACACTTGAAGTGGTGGTGGCAGCTTCTGGATGGAAAGAGCTGGCTGTGTGTATCTCTAATGTGACCTTCTCCATGCAGACTCAGCAGTGATCCATCCAAGGGAGAGTCCTTGAGTGGGTGGGATCACTGCACATTCTGCAGGTGGGGCTGCACTGGCTCAGTAGCTCCGTGACTCTTTACTGAGTCAACAATGTCCTCCCAGAGGTCACAATCAAAGAAAATATTTTAGAGAAATCTCCTTGCAGAGTATGGACTCAGGTAGCGTTTACTGAATGGATTCTATTCAAAACCTGACCAGAATTTCTCATTAAAAATGCAAAGTATTTTTCTAGTATAATGTCACTTTTTTTTTTATTCTGACAAGTTGGCATAAAATATAAACTTTGTCAGATCAAGCATTTCTGTCCACCATGTCAGTCAGTACTGACTCAAGGGGTCACAGATTAAATCTTCTGACACTGGGACACTGCTTGTTCCTGTGCTGACTCCACCAGGATGGGCTTTCCACCTGAGTATTTACATCTGCACTAATTAATGTAATACTTGGTCCTCCTGTTGCCAACAGCTTCCACATATTTGATGTTCTGGCAGGTTGATGAGGGTTACTATCTCATTTCCAAATATCTGATGAAACCAATATATTTTTTGTGTGTGTGTGGGGGGGTTGTTTGTTTGGTTTTTTTTCCCCTGAACAACAACTCAAGAACATTTAGGATAATAGGTATTTCAAATGAAGTGCTCTAAATACACTCTTAAGTTTCTAGAAATCTGCTTACATTCTATCACTACATATAATTAAAAAAAAATGAACAGACTTCTCCCTGAAAAAGATATTGATCATATCTTTTTTTAAATTATTTTTAGGAGCTGATGGCTCAGAAAGTTGATGTTATTAGCCATGCATGGACAACCAACTATTTAATTTCCATAACTTACCTGTTTTGGAGTTATTTACTTTATACTTATCTCTGTTATTTGGACAGAATTAGTGACAGGAAGAGAGGAATGAAAAATGGCTGAATTCTTGCTACCTGGTACCAACAACTTCCGCAAATTCACTCAGGAATCCTTGGCTGCCATCAGAAAGAGAATTGCTGCCAAGAAGAATTGTCGAAGAAATACTATAGAGCAGAAACCTGAGGTGAAACCACGTCCCCAGCTTGACCTGAAAGCTTTCCAGAAGTTACCAGCTCTCTATGGAAATCCTCCTCCAGAGCTCATTGGGGAACCACTGGAAGATCTTGACCCCTACTACAAAGATCATAAGGTTAGAGCCAGCCAACATGCTTGGATTTTAATACTAATTAATTTAATTTGATTTAATTTAGTTTAATTTATTTTATTGCAAAAGAAAAGTTTATGCAAATGATTTATCAAAAAGTTTTGCTTACACCCCTTTAGAAAAACTATCATTCCTTTCTAGCTTAAATAATGCATGCAGCTGGCACAGCTGAGTGACATGCTTCAATCTTTAAAGGGAAAGCTTAATTCTGAATTATAAGAATTCAATAATATGAAATTGATTAACATTTGAATCAGAATGGAAGCAGAAAGAATAAAATGGATAAAGAAAGGAAAGTGGCTTTTGAGTCAGATCCACAAGAAACTATAATAATTTTTTACATTTTCTTAAATTCCATAGTTTGAAACAATATGTTTCACTCTATCTCAATGGTTATGCTCAATTTACATGTATAATAAATGATAACTAAATATAAAAATTATTTTCAAACTATTGCTGATTAATCCTTAAAAACTACTTATTCAAACTCTATGTTCTAGTCATGACATATTGGAGAATATATTTTTTAACAATGAACAAAGAAATAGGAACTAATCCATTGGAAATTCTGCTTATTTCTTGAGAAATGGTTAAAACTTTGAACTGATTTCTACAGTCTAAACCAGAGGATCACTGTCAACAATGGTAAATAGGCTACAGTTCTTCCTTCCACCTTTGTATATCCTGACACAACGAGAGGTTCATTCTATTTCGAGACAATAATCATAAACAAGATTAGTTCTGTGCACAGGTCTTTGCAAATCCCAAGGTATAAAAAAGAAGTTCATGCTAAGGAATATTTTGCAGCCTGAGAGTTAATGGATATTAACTCTTCCATCAATTTCTGATGAAAGGATAGCAAAGTAGTACAGAGTCTTTCCAATTAACCAAACAGACTAGAGTGGCATTCAAGCTCTTACTCATGACTGATACAACAGGATATAGCACAAAAATATGTTCTCTGTTCAACTTCCTGAAAAATTATTGTTTGTTTATTTTTTAAAAGGTTTTCATAGTGCTAAACAAAAAGAAAACAATCTTCAGATTTACTGCTACACGTGCCCTGTGGATCCTCAGTCCCTTCCATCCAATACGAAGAACAGCAATTAAAATTTTAGTGCACTCATATCCTTTTATTGGCTTTCTTCACTCTTTTTTTTTTGATTATAAAACTCTACGTAATCCTATGCCTTTGTATTTTAGAGCATTGAATGAATCTGACCTTTTCTCCACTACAGATTGATTCCAATTATGAATTACCTCTGATATTATTAATGCTTTGGTGCTCTTGTGCTACTTAGAAACACATAGTTTTGTGAATATTGGGCTCATGATCCTGATTTTCTACAGATTTGTGTTTTGAGAATGAGCTCTGATATTGATTTCCTGGTGTCTCAGAAACAAGTATCTCATGCTGGATCCTTTCCCAGCGAGAAGATTAATAAGATCTCTATCCTCTTACTTATCTACTGGTTACCCAAATGTAGGAATTAAATTCAACTCATATGCAAAAGCTGATCAGCCATTGGCCAGTTTTAAGAGAAAAGGCTGAGACAGGCAGGCAGGCATAGGAAAACACAGAAAGAAAAATCATGCAAACTTACTTTCTTTGGGAAATAAGACTCAAAAAGTATACCTTTGGCATGTAAAAGTAAATATTTCCATGGATGCTGTTGCAGGGAATGCCTTTGGGATATAAAGGTAATAGAGATCCCACCTCAGACGTCAAATTTAAGGGATGGAAATCAGTAGTGCATTGCTCCAGTTTGGCACTGGGGAATGAGACCTTAGCAAAAATGCTGTTTCCTGGAGCTGTGTGGATTTCAGATTTCCAGCAATCTCCTGGCTCTGTGCTGCTGAGGTAGCTGCAATGGGTCTGAAGTTGTTGTTGCAGCAGTGTACAGACATCCTTGGAAGAGTGATGCCTCTGAGGCTTTCCCTGCCCAGAAGTAGGATGTTGTTGGCATTTCGACACCAGTGGGTCCAGATCCTTGGGACAGTTTAACCATGTCTAGTGCTAAAGTCAGGAATTTTATTTTTTTTTTTTAGGGGCGGGGGGTGGAGAGGATGGATAATGGAAAAGCCAGATATCTTTCCCTTGCGCTTCTACCTCCTGGATTTCCAAAAGGACACAAGGCATGAGGTCCAGCTCCAGAGGCAGGTGCTTGAGCTTAGGAATCTACACATGAGGAAGCTGCCCAAGTTCCCATTCTCTGGGCCAGCAGGTCCCAGAGAGCAGCTGGGCAGCCCCAACAGTTGGCTAAACATGTTCATCCAGAGTCATCTGAGGCACCTGTGAATATCCTGGCAGACTTCATGCTGTCCCTTCAGAGGAAAACAGCTTTGCTGGTTTAGAGTTAGGTTTGGGCTCCACCTATGTGACCTTGGGCAAGTGGTTTGGGCTCCACCTATGTGACCTTGGGCAAGTTTTTAACTTCTATGCTATAAAATGAGATTAAAATTGCATCCTTCCTCCCGCTCTTGGAGTGGCTGAGGATCCTTTTACCAGGTTTGCAATGCTTAGGGCAGCATACAGAAGTCCATGAATAACAACAGTAGTAACTCAAAATTCCCAAATACCCCTCTATGCTGTTTTTACATTTGCTTTAAGGAAAAACCCAGGTACTACATCTAAGACTGATAGACTATCTAGTTACATTTCTGAACCAATGTCTTATTCTTTGCCTTCACTCCTGTGACTTACATTATTCACTTTGTTTATCATGTGCACCATTCTAACTAATTGTGTGTTCATGGCTCTGACTGAGTCCTCAAAGACTACATCTCCATCGAAATTACTCAAGTATGTTGAGTAAGTATCTGTGGGTATGTATATGTACATTTCTTAATTCTATAATTAGATTGAATTATTGAGACTTGTCTTGCCTCCTTCACTCAAGGTAGCTTGTGGGAGAATTAAAAGGAAAGTTGCTTGTGTTAGGATTTATATGTATGTATTTTTATTTTATGTGAGTATTATTGTCTTTAAACTCAATATCTACAATAATTTTGGCGTTATAGGAGAGAAAAAGTGCAAATTAAGTTCCACTGTTGAACTGGCTTCATGTCTGTTCTACTGCTCCAGTTTGTTATGCCACTTTCTGAAGTTACTCAGTAATTATTTTCTCTCTATCAAGATGCATTTCCCACTGTTACTGATGCTGATGAAGCACATGGAAAGCTGCTGATTTTCAAAATTCTTTCTAATAATGTTGAAATGTTGAGTTTTGCTCTAATAAAATGTTCTGTCAGAAGCTCTTGGCTTGCAGGACTCTGTTAGAAAGTAAAGTTCTTATCTTGAGTGTTGCCAACACTTGCAGTGTTAAATCACAAAAAATATGTGCCTCTGTAGTCCTTCCTAAAATGTATTATCCCTCGGTTTTAATTTTTGAAAAAAGAATATTTCAGATCTCACTTTTTCACTTCGTCAAAAAACTTCTAAAATATGAACACTGAAAATTCTAACACCTAACACAAAGAAAAAGATTCCCAAAGACTTAGTTTTAAAAAGAGGTCTAAAATTATTTTTTACTATCTCATGTTACATGACACTGAAACGACTGGGAATGGCAAATCATCATGCAAGCAGGAACAAGGCTTTGCATGGTATTGATATACATATCTCCAGAAGATACTGAGATACTTCTTTACCTATGAGAGAATTAAAGGTTACGTCAGAGTTGAATCTGCTGTTGGCATCAACTACCATTCAAAAACATTTCAAGAATAATTTCTGAATACTTTCCAAATGAAAAGGGAAGCACTACATCCATATAATTTCTTAGTGCATTTGCTGACTAGCAAATGAATGCCTTTTGAATCCTGCAGGGAGATCACTGCCTTCTTGAAATTGTAAGTGCACTCAGTTAAGTCCAGAAGAGCTTTTACTGATAATTTTCCATTAATAAGAATAATTGCCATCTTAAATTGAAAATCCTCTACTCCTGTACTCCTCTAAGTGTTTCTAATATTCTGCACAGAAGGGGATGCTGCGTGCCTGAAGTAAATAACACACCGCATATCACACATTCACTTGGCCACTTGAAACCAGAGGAAGATACAAATTTTTGATCTTTATTTTAGCTAGTAGCTGGGAATTTTGTGTTTCTGAAATTACGGAGACTCACAAGAAAGAGTTTGGAAAAAAATTGTTGAGTGCCAAAAAGCTTGCAGGTTAAATCATGTCCAGGTTGCAGTCAGCTACTGTCTCCAGCTCCATATGAACCAGATACTGATGGAATACACTGAAATCAACAGCAGTCTGAGTTACTTCTCTCCAGCATTGGCTCAGTTTGCTGGCCTAGGCGTTAAATATTCTGACTGTGTCTCTTCCGTGCTAAGTGCTAGTACTGCTCTTTTCCTTTTCTCCCTTCCCTAGATTTACTTTCACTGGCATTTACACTTTTGAATCATTGATAAAAATATTGGCAAGAGGATTCTGTCTAAATGAATTCACTTTCCTTCGAGATCCCTGGAACTGGTTGGACTTCAGCGTTATCGTTATGGCGTAAGTGGGAACACATAAAATATGGATTGTGTGCCTTGGCTCTCTGTGTTTGAAGTTCTCATTGCTGGGGTGCAAAAGGCTTTGTCTGTGGTACAAAAACCAACACGTGGCTCTGAATTGCACCTGAAACTGTCTGGAACATTGACTTTCCCCCTTGTTTGCCACTCACTATTTTACAATGAAATTTTAGTCTTTCAAGAAGGGAATAGAGCGGTGGAGAGCAAGATAAGCCAGCTGGTCAGTGGATATGAGAGGATGTGTTTAGACCACTGAAATGTGATAGCTGGGCATAAATACAGATGTACTGTTCCTACGAATGAAAGTATAACTTTGCAATTAGAATGATGGGTATAGACATCAGGACAGTGGGTTAAATTTGAGCTCTCTCTCTCCAAAAATCACAGTTTGAGCTTCATTTTCTGGTGATTAGCAAGTCTTTATAATGGTAAAATGCAGCTACAGAAGGGAGATGAAACCAGTTCAGCCAGTGTTTAAGCCTGAAATTAATATTTTTGAGAGTAATCTTTGTTTATATATTAAATGAAGGATGATTTAAGATGCTGGCAAAAAAGCTGCTGTGAACAAGCCAAGAGCCACCTCGGATGAAAACTAAAAATCAAGAAATGGGTTTCTATTGTATAAATCTTCAGACAAATCCTGGATATGTAGGTTTATTTGAACTTAAAAGAAACTTGGAAGGATTGACATCCAAGAATGACCACTGTAACATAGTTGCCCTGTTTACCTTGTTCAACCACTTGACATATCACATCCGGACTTTACAGGTATGTGGGAGCATTTAGTACCTGGGGAAGTGTGTCAGTCCTTCGGACTTTCAGGGTTCTGAGAGCTTTAAAAACCATTTCAGTAGTCCCAGGTAAGAAATCTTACTTTCTGCTAGTTACAATTCATTCTTTGTTTCATTCAAAATGTTGGCTTTTCCCCCCCTTTTTTTTTTTTTCCTCTATATCTTTCATGGATTTCAGACATGAAAACTGAATTTGTGGATACAAAGTGTGTCTCAGTTCATCTGTCCCAGTCAGGACAAATCAAGTGTTAGAAATGATCTTGCATGTAGTTTATTTTCATTATGCTTTTAAAGATGCCGTTAACACTTTATCATGTCAGTTTTACAGAATGTTGTCTCAGCTGGTCTGTGTGTTATGCCTCAACAGAAATAACTTTGGAGATTGAAGGGACTTTACTCTTAATCATCTCACATCATCAGTCTGTGGCAGGGGAGGTTTAGATTGGATATTAGGAAAAATTTATTATCTGAAAAGGTAGTCAGACATTGGAACGGGCTTCTCAGGAAAGTGGTGTAATCATCATCCCTGAAAGTGTTCAAAAAACATGTGGATGTGGCATTTGGGGACGGGGTTTAATGGTGAACATGGCAGTGCTAAATTAATGGTTGAACCCAATCTTAGAGGTCTTTTCCAACCTTAACGATTCTGTGATTCTATCCCAGGGAAAACAGCTTCCTTTTCAGACTTCCCTTAGTTATAAAGCCAGTGGATTCTTTATCATAGTGAAATACAAATTAAGAGTGAGTTGCCCCTGTCTTCTCTTTCTGTCATAATCATTATAGTTCACAGTATCTTCACAAACTACCGGTGTTGCGATTGAATTACGCATATCACTTTTTATGGATAAGGAAAACTAGACTATCTCTGTTTCCTCATCCTTGCATGAATATTTTGTAGGGATTAAGCAGACTTCTGAAAATTTTTAGCGTCAATGAAGTGAGGAAAAAATATTTTTCTCGTATTAGTCACTCTCATCCAAACTATACTTCTATTGCAAATATGTTTACCACATATTATCCTGTAATTTTTGTACTTTGGTTTTTATACATTGTTTTAACTGTAATCAAGTATGATGTCTGAATCTGAGGTTTTCATTTTCATCCCGTTTTTCCCTTTTATATTGCCTTTTTAGGACTCAAGATCATTGTAGGGGCACTTATCCAGTCTGTTAAGAAACTTGCTAATGTGATGATCCTGACTGTTTTCTGCCTGAGTGTCTTTGCCCTCATTGGCCTCCAGCTTTTCAAGGGAAATCTCAGACAAAAGTGTATCAAGAACACTACAGAGTGTGGTAACAAAACATGGGAAACCTATGAAATGTTTCTTAATGATTCAGGTAATTTTTCTCCTTGGTTCTTTTTTAGATGATGATATAGACAACTATGCATGCATGTATAACCACTGCTGAGAATTATGTTGGTGTTTTGGTTGATATTTTGATGGGTAACTATCTGGTAATCTGGCTTTTTATTGCCAGAGCAGCTTGCAGGCATCCAGGAATGCTCTCCTTCCCTTCATTATAGGAAAAAGCACTCCCAAATTTTCCAGTAACATCCAGCTCTGTTTCCCTGAATATATAACAATAACTGAAACACTCATTAGCTCATTCTCTGTTGTAATTCCCTAAAGTTCACCTTTTACTACATGCTGAAGAGTCCGTCTTCATTTTCCTGCCCAGTGAGATTAACTCTTCAGCCTGAAACAGAGGAATTTGTTAACAAGTCAAATTACTTTCTTCTTGACATCATATGTATCTTATTTTGTGTCTTATACAAGATATATACCACATACATCACCCATGGTTACACCTTGACTGAGGCTGGTGATGGAACTGCAGAGCAGAGATCTGAAAATACATCAAAGCATTCTCAAGAGGAACAACTGTAAGAGGCAATTCAGAAAGGAAGAGCCTTGTGCTAAAGGAGAAGCCTCAATATATGTGAAAAAAATAGACTCAAAATGATGAATGTCTGTGCCAGAAATATGAAGAAAGCTTCATCACTGAAGAAAATCTCGCCAAGCGAGTTCAGACATAGCAGCAGATACACGGGGAGACGAGAATTCTCCCAGGGGAACTGTTGAAATACATGAGAAGCCACCCAGGATTGCTGTTTGTTGTGTGGGAGTTTTGTTCAGACAGGGTTTCTTCAATAACTTCATAGTCCAGAGGAAGAAAGTGTTTGTAGACAAGACTTTTGAGGAAAAACTTTTTTCTTGTACCTACCAAAAAACCATACATAAGAAGAAAGTTATTTACATGTACAGAATTTTGTAAAAATCGTAATTGAAAGCAAACTTGAAAAGAAACCAGGCAGTGACTAGAACACCACACAAGAGACCATGGATGTGAGAGTTTGGCTAAAAATGCTGATTTTCCGTGCTGAAGAAACAGAGAGCAAAAGTATCTACATTTTATTATTTATTTAATGCAGATTATTGCAGCTGTATAGAGGCAATGGCCTGGACAAAGTTGAGCTCGAGAAATTAAAAATCCACGTTGCTTCACAAGTTTTGTCTTGCTCAAATTCTGTGCCAAAAGGAATATGAAACAAAAGGAATAGGAGGGCCCAGACAGGTTTAATGCAAGGTAGATGACTTTCCTACAGGATTTAGGATGTACAGCACTATAAACCCAGTTTTCTATAAAATTTTATATATATATATTTATGGGCTGCTTTAGTCCTAATTTTGAGGGAAGTTCCCATCTCCACATGGAGAATTACATGCTGTTATGATTCCCTGAAGTTCAATCACTGACTTCTTAAAAAACCTTTCTATCAGTTGCCAGGAGCATAGCTGAGCAAAATTTGGGTGGAAAGTATCCTAGACAGTGACTCATTCCTTTGTAGAGTATTTACATAGTAGAGTTCAGCTGATACTAATGGTTCCTGTTGGCTCTGAATCACATTGACTTACCTGATGAGCACAGCTGAGGTTTGAGAAGCACCAGGAATACATGAGAGCTCCTTTATATCTGGGATAAGAAACCCACATCTTAATGGAGATAATTAGCTATTAGCACTAAAGCTTTTACTTTGAGTCTGCGGATAGCTCAGGCACCAGAGTAACTAATGTTAAGAGAAATAGGGTAAGAGTTCAAATGGCACAGCTCCAGCATCCTAATGGAGAAATCTTAATTTCTCAGTGAAGCAGGGTTAGGAGATGCTATTTGGCTCAGCAGTGGTGGATATCCACACAGCCAAATACTTTTTGTTTCTCCTCAAAACAGGGCTTTGTTTTTTATTGCTCATTGGGAACAGAAGTGGTCTGTGCTACTCCAAGTGATGTTTGTACTGGAGAAGACTAAATACTCTGGGCCAGAACTGTGTCAGAGTTTGTGTTAATGGTTACCAAACCATGGATTGGTTTAACATTTAAATTAGGTGTTAGGAAGAGTGATGAGGCACTGGAACACGTTGCCCAGAGAACTGTGGAGGCCCCACCCCTGGAAGTGTTCAAGGCCAAGTTGGATGGGGCTTGGAGCAACCTGGTCTGGTAGAAGGTCTCCCTGACCATGGCAGGGAGGTTGGAACAAGATAAGCTTCATGGTCCCTTCCAACCCAAACCACTCTAAGATTCTATGACTGTGTTTGAGCCTATGCCTCCATTTCTCCACTTCCTTTAAGGAGATGTAGCCAAAGTGATAATGTGTTTTCAAATTCTCTATTTAAGGACTGCATTCAGTCTGAAATTTGTACATAACCATATGAATGTTTATAAACGAGGCCAGGACATCCTGCAATCTGGTGCAGTTAATGTGAGCATGGAAACCTCTATGTGTGTGCACACACATTTACAGGTCACTGGTTACTCATCACCACGTATTCAATGATGGAGGATTCAGCCTAGAAAGTGCTTTGCATTTAAATTTTTTTTCCTTTTTTCTTATAGATGATTTTGCTAAGAAAAATGGCTCATCAGATATTTTGCTGTGTGGTTCTGGTGCTGGGTAAGTGCACTTAAGAATATTTATTGTTTGGAAGTTTTCTCTGCCTCAGTACTTCTATGTTTGCTCAGTCATGTGTGACCAAAGCAGAAATTCCAAGCTTTCCCTGAATGCAGAAACAGGAACACAGAAAACAAAGTATAGTAAACAGTCAGATAACTTAATACTTGTAGGAAAGGAAGTATGAACCTGCAGTTGGCTTATTCAGGTCTAAATTCTGTTTAGACTTTCCAGGAGTGGTGTCTTTCCCTTCCCAATGGATGTATGAGAGAACTGAAAATGTGAAAGATCTGGGGTATGGCACAGGACAGGCACTCTCTTCTCTGTGAAGGCTCATGAGTGTTAAACTGGAAAAACAAAACATGAATTTTGGAGGGCAGTTTTGGGCAAGGAGGGAGATGTGACTACTTTGCAGTGAAGGGCAGGGGATGAGGAGTGGTTATGAGGGATCTGTCCTGGGATGGTGATCTAACTCCAGTCTGTCTTCTTTGTTTGTTACTGTGTTGTGGGTGCTGCTTTTTCCATCCCACCTTCCAGCCAATACTACCTGGAGAAGAAAATTAGTTTGCAATCTAATGAAAATGCAGAACTGAATCATAATCAGAATTCATAAATAAACTGAAGTTTTCCTTGAAATCTGCACGGCTAAAAGAACTCCATTTTTTATTATTACTTCTAGGGCCTGTCCTCCAGGCTACAAATGCTGTAAAATTGGTCCAAATCCTGATTATGGTTTCACCAGCTTTGATACATTTGGTTGGGCTTTTCTTTCCTTATTCCGCCTGATGACCCAGGACTACTGGGAGCGTCTGTACCAACAGGTACCAGCTTTGTGCATAGTTCAGGACTGATCTTCAATAGTTGAAGCAGAAGATGTGTAGAGAGGACAAGAAGCCTCAAATAAAAGCAGTATCTGCAAGTCATCGAGCCCACATCTTCTGCTCTGCCTTCCCACAAGCTGTGACTCCCAGAAAAGGGATGCTGAAGTGTTTCTCAGCTCTATCACCCTGCTGGCTTAGGGACTTAAAAAAAAATACTAAAAGGGTCTTGTTCTGTCCTTCAAAAATATAAAAATGCCTCGTTGATTGTCGTCATGGGGTGTAGGTGAGGGTATAGGAAAAGGGAGAAAGAGGAGGAAGGAGGGCCGGGGAAGGAGGGTCAAGGAAGGTCTAATTCCAGTTAAGCTGCCTAAAGCACATGTCTAGGAAGCTCAGTGCTTCTAAAGAATTTCAGAGACACACTGAAAGCCTATTTGGTACTTTTTATGGTAATGTTTATCCCTGGGGTGTGTTGCTTACAGACCCTCAGAGCTTCTGGGAAGGTGTATATAGTCTTCTTCATGATGGTCATCTTTCTGGGCTCATTTTATCTAGTCAACTTGATTCTGGCTGTAGTAACAATGGCATATGAAGACCAGAACAAGGCCACCATTGCTGAAACAGAGGCAAAGGAAAGGAAATTTCGGGAAGCCATGGAATTATTACAGAAGGAGCAAGAGGTATATAAATTATTCTCTCTGTGTTCTGTTGTCAGTCACATAGGAACATGGCCTCACAGAGTGGTTTGGGTTGGAAGGGACCTTAAAGATCATCTTGTTTCAAACCCCTGCCTTGGAGAGGGAACTTTCCACTAGACCAGGATGCTCAGAGCCCCCTCCAGACATAAGAAAAAGTGCTCTCTGTGTACAGCTCTATATAGTAATCCTTCATGAAAACAGGAGCAAGTGATAACTTTTGAAAGTAGTGAATCCGAGAGTTACCGAACAATTCCTTGTTCAGCTGTGTATTTTTCCTGTGAAACAATGACTTTTGTTGTAGACAAAGAGCATTAAAGCCTGGTGCTACTTTTAGAAAAACGGTGTTTTAAAATCTGGAAAATGTAAAATTCCATCAACCAGCAGCTTCCAAAAGAAAATGCAGTTGGTTTTAAATTTTTTTTTCTTCTATTTCACTGTAGTGGGTGGCTGAGCAAGGAATTATACAGTAATTCTGCCAATCAACTGCATTAACATCTAAGCCGAAACCTATTGTAGTTGAATGAAAAATCTCTTGGTAACTTAAACTGCTTAGAAGCTTCTGGAACAAGATAGTCCCATGTTTTGAAAATATTGTCCTAAATTCAGGATGGGAAGAAAAGTCAGCCACGGGGTGAATACAGTCTGAAGGATCCCCAGTGAAAAGATGGAATTTTAATACTGTTTGAGCATTTCTTTTGTGGAAAGGGTATATTCCACAACATTGTTTTCAAACTGAGTATTTTTATTGTAAGCAAATCTGCCATATGGTGGAGTAGGAGCTATAATGTGATTACTTTGCCTCTGGCAGGCCCAGTACATGCAATCATGTAACATACTGCAAACAGCAAATTGTTCAGTGCTCCATATGTTGGGGGAATTATCTGCTCTTTCTTTTAGTCTTATCATATATTGGAAGATTTTTAATGAGCTTTGTGAAACACAAATTGTTAACAGGAAATAATAATAATGAGCACAGAAGTGTTTTCTTTCTGCTTTTATTCAAAGAACCCAGCAAAAATATCATCCATGTTTTTGTTTTAATTTCAGTCATTGGGTATTAAAGGAATTGATATCCTGTCACTTAGCTCCTTGGAAGACCCTTCTCTGTCTGCCAAAGAAATCAAAGAAAGAAACAACAGGAAAAAGAGAAATAAGTCCTTGGGGATAGAAGATAATGAAGAAGAAGAAGAATTCCCCAAGTCACAGTCCACAGACAATCAACGAAAGTTGGTAATCTATTGTCTGAATCTGAGATTCTTACAGTTTTTCCAATTTTAATACTAAAATTAATTGCTTGAAAGCATAAACCAAATATCATTACAAGCACAGATCACTCTTAGGTCTCTAAAATAAAAAATTTTTTGGGATAAAGCAGAATTAGATGCAAAAATTAATTTGGAAAGGAAATGTTATAAGTGAAGGATGCAAGAAGAACTGTAATAGTTAAAACACATTTTCTATAACACTGAGAAACAAAAAAAAGTGAATGATTACTAGAAGTTAGCTTTTATACCCTCATTGTCTATTAAAATGTCTTGCTTAAAATATAAATATAAAGATTACCACAAAAATAGCTGCTATAGCTGATAGGATTTTATTATCTGCCTTTTAAAATATAAATATAATCCTTTCCAGAAAATGTAAATCAAATAAGAGTTTTAGAGTTGCAGTGATTGATAGTTAATGTTATGAAACTCTAAACATTTACTGCTTCCCCAAATTTTCTGTGTGATGTTATGGTGTTCTCTCTATATTGCTTTTCCTGGGCTTTTAGTCTCTCCTTGGCCTGGTGTATGGTCCCAATGCAAACCAGGGGAGACGCAGACTTAGCCACGGGAGCGTGTTCAGCTTCCAAATACCCACTGCAGAAGCTGATTCCAGGACGGATTTCGGTGCTGAGGAAACCCACAGTGCTGGGGGACACAAAATCCGGTGCCATTCCCTGTCGGGCACACAGATTGGAAGACGCTCCAGCTGGCAAAGCCAAATGAGCCACAGCTCTCACCCCCCTACCCCGAACTGTGTGCAGAGCAAGTGGGCGAGCACGGATGACTACCATGGTGTGGTTTTGGGGCTGGGAGGAGGAAGCAGCAGGGTTCACAGTCAAGATCCAGTGTCTTCTGAAGGATTAGTGCTTCCACCGGTAATGGAAGACTCGGGAAAGGGAGATCTGGTAAGGAAAAACGTATTATTTTAAATATATCCTCCATGTTACTGTTTATTGATCAGTGGCAGGGGTTTCTTGTCTTAGGAGTTTCATTGCAATGTCAAACAGTGATGTGAACTGAAGTATGTTGATGTGAGGAGTTTATAGGTTGTCAGTAGAAACTGGTTTTTAATAGTCTGATGAGTTCCTGAAAACCAGACTTTGACATTCCTGTTATAAACTTTATGTTTCTGCTATTCATTAATTGTATTAACACATTTTTAAAGGTTCCTAGTGCTGAAATTACAAGTCACCAAAGAGTCTTTCTGACCCAAACTCTGTCCAGGGGTGTCACTTTGAGCAATACCTTTGATTTTTCTTTTTTCTCCGTAGCACATTTAGCATCACACAGCAGCTTTTTCTGCAAGTTCCCCAAGTGGGCAGAGTTGCTTTTCTAACATTTATCCCTCACCTCTCTCCTATTCCATTAGTCTCTTGAATATTTCCTAGGCCTATTTCCCCTCATACACTTATTCCCAAGGTCTGTGCTTGCCCTGTTGCCATTACACGCTTGCAGGATCCATTTACTACACCTCTATGACTGAAGAGTAGGACCTTCATTCTCAACATTTATTACATCTTGCAAAAAGGTACATTTGTTTGGCTGTGTGTCATTGTTCCTATTAACTCTCATAGTTACCCATCATCACATCCTACTTCATTTCATTCCTGCGGTATCTCCCTAATCATGTTTACTTCTTTGAGCAGCCAGCTGTGCATGATGAGAGCAGCATGATGCATTTACCTCCTCATCTGTCAGTGGAGTACTTTAATGAGGCTCTTCAGAGACAGAGGGCAGCAAGTGTAGTCAGCATAATTACCAGTGTCTTGGAGGGTAAGTGGTTCCTCAAAACGTTTATTTCAATCCTGAAGTAATGCCGCCATGAAAGAAAAAAATATATTCCTTAAAGGTTAACAGAGAACTGTAGGCGTGTGGTGAGGAATTTCATTGTTAATCTGGCTCCTTTTCAGAAAAAAGTGTGCATTATCACACAGCCTTTATGTACTGGAACATATCCTTTGCCCATAGTAAAAGTTCATTTTGTAGGACAGACTGTGAAGGGGGTTGGAGTGAGAGCAGGTGTAAGAATTTTGTTTAGCATCTGACCTGCAGGACTGGGACACTAGTTTTTCCTCCTGTGATTTCTGCTGTGTCACTAGCAAACACACAGACATACAGAATCCAGAAATTAATAAGATTATGCAATTAAAATTAGTTGTGGCAATTCCCAAATTTCTAATGTCTCACCTCACAATTTTTTTTATTCCTTTAACTTACCTTTCCATGTGATTTTTTTTTTTTTTTGTGGAGGGGGTTAATCAATGACAGTAATTTTGATGACCGATGGTTTTGTTGCAGATCTTCCCGAAAAATTTCAGTTCAAGTTGATCAGGATGGTGTTTTGTTTTGTTCTGTTTTGTCCCTGTTGAGGAGCTCTACCACCAGCTCTTGGACCACAAGTATGGGATTTAGCAGGGGGGTACCCTGTGGCAGGGAGGTCTCTTTTCTTAATTTTTTTAAAAACATTTTCTCAGGAGAATCACAGCTGCAACACATCCAGTTGAGTTTTGCTTTGCAGTGTAATTCACCAGAGATCTGGGTTTTGTTGCACAGTTTCAGCTGTGAACTGGGATGCAACAGGACTTACAGCTCTAAGTGGCTGCATATTAACCTGAGAACAGGCATCAGAAAGGATCTTTGCTGGGACCTAAACACCAGTTCTGCTGCATCCACAACGTATTCATAAAGAAAAAGTCAAGTGATGCAGGAAAATGGAAGATGAGCTAGACCTGGAGTGAAGGCTGAGTAAAGGTGATCAAACTGGAATAAGCAGGGTAGGGTAGAATCTGGGACTTGAGCCTAGAGAAGGAATGAAAACTAAACAGAGGGAAGAAAAAAGGACAGGTCAAACTAAGAAAAGGATATCAGTCAAATCCAGTTCATTTGATATCTGAAAAGTTTTCAGGTCCTTGAAAACTGGATTACTAATTCCTACTGGGCTTGCATTAAGTCAGCTCCAGTTTTTCAATGAATTTGCAAAAGACTTAAGGGTCAAAAGTGTTTTGAAGGACTTCGTTAATACTGATGATGAAGAAGGATGAGACTTATATTTGGAAAGGTGTGGAAAATGGAAAGTGTGACCTTTCCTACAGAAGTGGCCTAAAGCCAAATTTCAGGCACCATAGCTTGGATTTGCCTCACCTACAGTCAGGATTCTTTTGTCTGCCATAGACTCTCAAAACTCTCTCGAGAGTCAAAGGAGACAAAGTGTTGTTGGGTGTGACACAGCTGATGTCAAAGACATCTCCGTGAGGACAAGGTGGGAAGTGCTGTAGCCACGCTACTGACCTACAAGAGAGTGAGAAGCCTCTGCATCACAAAAGTCTGCATTTAGTCAGGTGATTGTAGTACCAGTCTGAGTCTAAGACAAATAAAACCCCTTCCAAAGGCTTTTGAAGGAAGTGCTCGTGAATGCATTTGGAATCCGATTTTCTCTGAATATTTATCTTCACATTTATCAGCTGATGTAGTGATTAAATGAATGCCAGAAAGTGCAGGGAAGCTCTGGGCTCTGTGAGAGTTGAGAGGTTTATTTCTTCTTCTCTGGTCTTTTGAATGCTTTGTTATTTCACCATCTTGCTCAGTGGTAACTATTTAATGATGGTGGGGTTTTCTTTTGCATTTAGAACATGAAGAAGCTCAGCAGAGATGCCCACCACGCCTAAAGAAACTTGCTTTAAAGTATCTGATTTGGGACTGTTGTCCACTTTGGTTGAGAATCAAGAAAAGAGTGGCTGCTTTCATAAAGGATCCTTTTTTTGATCTCGCTATCACTGTTTGCATTGTGATGAACACTTTGTTCATGGCACTGGAGCACAATGATATGTCACATACTTTTAAATTCATGCTTAAAGTAGGCAACTTGGTAAGTAATTTCTCAGCTACGCAACATTTTATAGGATTAATTAATTGATTGATGGTTGTTTTCCCTTGAGACTTAAAGAGCAACAGTAAAAATTAGCAAACTTTGCATTTATAAGCTTTGTTTCTAATATAGACAATTCCCTGATTTTATTTTTTTTATTTATGCAGTTTGACATGATCCCAAGAAGGCAGAAAACAACCCTCCCGTTTTACTTAAAAGCGCATTAGGACTTCATAAAAATGGGTTTTATTAACCCATCCATGAATATTATTTGAGGGAAAAGTAAACTAAAGATAAGATAAAGTCGTGGCTACTTTTAGGCTGATGCTGCTGTTTCTTTGTCACAGGTTTTTACAGGAATCTTCACGGCAGAAATGATCTTAAAAATCATCGCTCTAGATCCCTATTATTATTTTCAGCAGCCCTGGAATATTTTTGACAGTGTAATTGTCACATTGAGTTTAATTGAACTGAGTTTGCCCAGAAGCAAAAACCAGAGGGAAAAGCGAAGAGGAGGAACCCTGTCAGTTTTACGATCCTTCAGACTGGTAATGCTTCACACTTGCTCACTTGTATGACACTTAATTTTGTGTATTTAATAGAGAACACTTTCTGTTGTCTGCAGTTAGGAGACAAGAATTTTACTTTTTTACAATTAATTTTTTTTTCTCTCTTGCCATGAAGAATAAGAAACCCATTCTTAAACTCCTTGTGATGTTAGAGTCAGAGTTTAAGGATATATGTGCTTCTTTTGAATATACTAAGAAATACTCAAATGAAAAGGTATTCCAGAGAGGATGTGTTATAAAACTGTTGTAAAAATATTAAAACAAGCGTAAGAAATTAGGAAAAGAGTGTCAAGAGAACAAATAGAAAAAAACCAATATACAAAGAGAGATGTGAAAGGATATTAAGGTATCCATATCATGTACCATGGATGGATTTAAATTGCTTTACCAAAAGACAGACTCATAGTGCTACAGCAGCCAGACCCCCAACTTTTAGTCCTTTCTGTTACATGTAAGTTAGGCACCATATTCTACATCAAGAGCATTGTATGGACACCTACCTGTGTGGGCCAAACACTTATTAGGGACTCAAGTGTGCCTGGTCCTTTATGGGGTGATTAATTTATGTTTGCATTGTTGCGCAGTAGAAAAAAAAAGATCTATAAATGCTTTTTAGAAATATTAATGTCACATTTGCCACAAATATTGCACTGCTAGAATATTTCAGAATACCTGTAATTTGGTCGTTGCAGGATTTGCATGGTGTAATGATGGGTTATCTCTACCAATGTCTAACACTATGTTTTATGTTGCTACACAGCTAAGGGTCTTCAAACTGGCAAAGTCCTGGCCAACTTTAAACACTCTAATCAAAATAATTTGTAACTCCCTGGGAGCGCTGAGTAATCTGACCCTCGTCCTGGGAATCATCATTTTCATTTTTGCCATAGTAGGGGTGCAACTTTTTGGGAAAAGTTATAGGCTCAACTGTACTAGAATAAGCGAAGATTGCAAACCACGTTGGCACATGATGGACGTTTTCCACTCATTCCTCGTCGTTTTCCGAATTTTGTGTGGAGAATGGATTGAGACCATGTGGGGCTGCATGGTGGTTGCTGAACCACCACTGTGTCTTTTTGTCTTTCTGCTGGTAATGGTGATAGGAAATTTAGTGGTAAGTTTTCCAGTATTTTCTTCTCTTCATCCTGCCTATGGTAGAATCTATGTAACTGCTGTTTTGTCAACAAAAGGTAGCTTCCCTAAACACAGGTGTAAAAGTTACCTGTGTGTTGTAGTCTGCAAAAGCCTCCTTTGCCTTTCACCTTTGAGCCATTGTCTATATTTTCCCATTTTGTGTGCTTTGCACACAGCATCACTTGACCTTTTCATGTGGCAATGTGAGGAGGAATATCTTTGCAGTAAATATAATACAGGCTATAATGTGTTTCTTCACATCTTGGGATTTGGATGTAAATAATCAGTGAGGCTTATGGCTTACCTGCTTGAATTAATTAAGCCAAGTGCTTAAACCCCTCTGTAAATCAATTTTAATTTTTTTTTTAGTAAAAGCTCATGCAAGTCTTGAATTCTTTATCAGCAAGTGGCAGAATCTACACTCCTACCACTGAAATCAGGATTTTCTTAGTCACTTCCAAGTATGTTTATACCCAAGAGCTAGATTGTGCTATGGCAAACCTACACAGCCTCACACACTGTGCTGGGGCATGAGGGACAGCCTGCCTTCCTGGTCCTGTTGTAATTTCTTAATGTCCAAATCATAAATACCTTATTGTAGCAGCTTTGGTTTTCATGTCCTTCTTAGTATCATTCATATACCAAAATTCTCTTAATTAGAAAAAAAATTGCTAAAAATAATTAATTTTAGGCAGCCCTTTATGGGAAATATCTGTTCTGTGGCTGAATCACAAATATCTGGGTTTAATATCCCGTGTGTTCCACACTGCAAGGATGGATATCAGTGATGAAATGAGTGATATTCATACCACATAACGTTAAGTGTGAAGCAATGAAGTGTTTAGCCTGCACTCTTTGTCTAGGCTGTCTTTTTTGTCCCAGGGAACAGAAAGGTATCCAGCAATGAAATTTATTCCAGCCTAAGGTCAATAACTAAGACAGATGGGATGAACTGATCTCTGAAGGGCTAATATCCTCCACTGCCTGTGGTCTTTGGGTAACTCAGGGGTGCTATCTACCAGCTCTGACATGATAAAAATTAAGGTACATTAGGGAAATAAAGAACATTAGGGAAAAAATTAAATTCTTACATTCCCTTAAAACCAAACAAACATAAAACAAACTGAGGTTTATAAATTCTTCTCTTTAAGTGTACTCAAAAATGGGAAGGAAACGCCTCTTCAAGCTTCTCTTGGTTTTGATTTTTGTGATAGCGTGACAGATTTGATGGAACTTCTGGGCCTGAGCTGGATCCCACATAATTTTTAAGTAACTCCACAGAGGCCTGATTTATTCGAATTTGAAGAATGAAGAAACAGTTATTAAACTGACAAGCCATAACAGTAGTCTGTGTTACTATTTTAACCTTTGAAAAGTTGCTTTGGCCACATAATGCATTTGGCATGCACAGATCTGTTTTCTCTTGTATGTTAAATAACTCTTTTGGGAAAGAGGGGCATGGGAACTGACATTTCTGAAAGAGAATTTGATTTCATCAAACACAGTGTGATCTGTCATTGTCATTTCCTTGTGACCTTGTTTTGATTTGCTCAGTATAACTGACCTTTGGTAGTATCTGTGTTCTTCAAAGTTAGAATTCAGAAATCTGAATTCTACTCTCCAGAATTTTAATTTTTTTAATTAATGACTTTCAGGTTCTCAACCTTTTCATTGCCCTACTGCTGAGTTCCTTCAGTGCTGACAGTCTCCAGACAACAGAGGATGATGGAGAGATGAACAATCTCCGGATTGCCTTCGCTCGGATCCACAAGGGATTTCACTTTGTCAAGAGCAAGACGTGGGACACCTGTTGTGCAAAGCTCAGGCATTTCAAGAAAGCACAGAGGAAGAAAATCAAATTGACTGCACAGAAATCACTTGGGTTCAAGGCTGAAGAAATAAAAAACCGTAAAGAGAATTACAACAATGAATGGATTGAGAAAAATGGGGACAAATGCTCAGGTCTCGAAGATTTTGTTAACAATCCCAACATAGTTGTTTGTGTCCCTATTGCTGAGGAGGAGAACACTAGTGAGGGTTTTGAGGATGATGATAAACTGAGCTCATTTACGGACACAGAATACAGCAAACAGGTAAGGAATTCCTATATTTGTGTTGGAACAGTAGAATCTATACAGAGAAAGAGGGATGCACACATGGTAGAAGATGGTCTCTAGCAGAACAGGGTGGGATATGTTAATCCTTTTCCAGAGAGTTACAAAATTTTGAACTAGAACCAAAAGTACAAATATTTAGAGTGGGGGTAAATCACCACTAGGAGCCTCTTAAAAACCAAGATTCTTTCATGTTCTTAAAATAAAGAGCATAAATTGTTGAGTGTGCTGCAGCAATTCCTAAGCGATGTTATGGTGCACACAGGTACTTACATAACCCATAGGTAATTGTGGCAGTCCTTGGTGAACTTGGACTTTTTTATATAAAACATTATGTGAATAATGTCAACTGTTTTGGTATTATGTACATAAAAGAGCAAAAGTACATATTCTGCATAAAGAACATGGCCATGGACTCATAATATTTATTTATAGCTCTGGTCCTTACTTGGTATTTGTCCTCGCTGTGTGTAGTAATTATTAGGAATTACTAAGATTAAGTATGGAGTAGTTCTACTAAGGTCATATTTCTGATATGACAGCATGTATTACCCTATTTCTTTGTGTTCTATGGATTTTTCAGTTCTATTTTAACCATAATTGCCATCCTGGTCTCAAGATTTCCCATCTTAAGTTTCCATCTTAATTCCTATGCAAATATTCTCACTTAACTTCTGAATAGATCACTAAAATTCCTTAATTTGCTGCATGTCTGTTGGGAAAAATTTTCCCTTTCTCTATCAGACTCAAAATGATCCTATATTATGACTTTCGTCTGGAGAGTCCCACTTTAAGAGCAATGCATATCTTATCTTTCTTTCCCTTCTGACTTGTCCCCCTCCTAAAAATGGAAAGAAACTCCCTCTAATCCACAGATTATTTTCAGGATGATAATCACCTGAGACAAAGGGGAGAAAGAGCGAAAAATTCAGGCAGCTGGAGCAAAGGATCAGGATTTTCCTCTGAGGAATTCAGTGTGCTTTACCCAGGAAAAGACAGGAAGGGTGAACCATCATCACCAGAAGAAAAAGAGGTAGAAATTGTTTCTCAGCTTGACTTTCCAATACTGGTCAAGCACAGGAATGTTCCTGTTCAAGGATTTACTGGAGTGGAGAATAGTGCCAGAAGCAGCTCTGAGCTGCAAAATTGTTTTGTAGTAATTGTAAATAATTTATAACATTCTCTCTGCTACTTTCCATTTATTAAAGTCTGAGTCCACAAAAAAAAAGAAGAGGAGGATTTAAAAAAAAAAAAAAGGTATTAAAAGAGAGATAAGCTTGCAAGTGGGAAATTCCATCAAGTCTGCCTGTGTCCTAAGTAACTGTTTCAAGAAATATAATGATTGAAATGAGTTTCTCTCTATGTCATTGAAGATGGTAGTTATTAATTTACAATATTTTTGGAGTAATTTGGAATATAGAATACATTCAAAGAGGTAAAAAACAGCATTATGCAAACATGAAAGAAAAAAAGCATAAAGTAATTTGTAACAAACTGCTGGCTCATCAAACATTGTGTATGAGATAATGGGATGGTAAAAAGCTTTATAACTGAAAATATAGGGTATGATTTCGGGTTCCTACTTCATAAATGCTGCCTTGGGTGCTCAGTGCCTGACACAATAGCAGATATGTTTATCTGATTCTCCTGTTTGAATGCATCTTTCTATGATTTCATGGGTTCAGTCCAAGTAGTTTATCCTGCTTTGAGGACTCCATGCCCTAATATGCAATCTAAAAGCTTTTCAATTTACCAGCTGATTAGGCAGTTACCTCTGGTTCATGTAGATAGATATTGTAATTATAAAGCTTTGGCCTCTATTTAGATGCACCTATTGGTACTTCTAAGCTCATATGCTTTTAAAATCACAAAGTTTATTCCATTACCAACACTTCTTGTAATATTAGTACATAGCCAGGTTTTCATTCTGAGTTTTATTTGTTCATGGATGAATTTATTCATTTGAAGCTGAACGTAGACAGAAACAATATCTGATATTACTTCGTTTGGTAGTTTGACAGTGTCAGCTCTTCTGAAGGCAGCACAGTGGATCTGAAAAATCCTGAGGATGTTTTGAGGCAGATTCCAGAATTTTCTGAAGACTTCAAGACTCCAGAACAATGTTTTCCAGAAGGTAAGATTCCTGTGGCTTCACTGCTGAAAAGTGAGGAGGATTAACACCCAATATGTTTCTCTAATGATGCTGAGCCTGTTTAATTTTAGTTAATTTTAGTTATCTGGAAAGTGGTTAAATAGTTGTCCCTTTCTATTCAACACAGTGATTGAGAGACCTGAAAACTAAAACCCTTTCCCCTTAAAGCAAATTGCTTCCAAAGGGGACTTGGACAATGGCATAGACTCCATTCCAAAAAATAGGATTATTATAGTGAGGTGTGATGAATTTCACTTTGTTGGACAGCAACCGAGTCACTCTGGGGGTTTAATGAAAGAGAAGTGTATGTGATCAGGTCTCACCTGGCAGTGGCCACAGGGATAATAATGGTTTGGGTTGGAAGGGTCCTTAAAGATCATTCAATAAACTGAGAATCTCTTCTCAAATCATCACACAACATCACGCTTCGCACTGGATGTGTTCAGTACTTTTATGATTTCTTCCTACCCTAACACATAATTGTATGTAGCTTTCATAATATCATGCCTGTTAGAAAAAAAAAAAAAGAAATAAAGATTCTATATTTTCTTGCCCTGCTCCAGAGAAGAAATGTGAAATGCCTTGTTTTGTCCTCTGAGGTTCCCAGCTGGAATGTGCCTGCAGTGGCCAAACCACTAGAGAAGTCAACTGAAGGTGCAGCAAGTCTGAACCTTACACAGATTTCACCCCTCCCCACAGTCCTTATCTTGTGCAAGTGCTATTCCCTGCCTCATCTCACACTCCAGATCCACATTACTGGGGATTATTGAAATAAAAATAATCAGAATTTTTTACGTGTATTATGGCCTATAATATACATGAGTTATATATGCGATGTTAAGACTATGTGTATAAGATTTTATATATAAATATGACACATGTATATATTATTTTTACTGTGTTTGGAAATGACAGAAGCCTTCTGACTGACATTTGCCATAGTGAAAACATGAATTAATGCAGAGAATGCGGAAAGGAAAAAATTAGCCAAAGTGAGTAGATTCCTGGAAAAACTAATAAGTAATCAAACCCAGGATTTTATAAAGAGGTGATCAGGAAATATTAGGCGGCCCTGGCATCATTGTCTGCTGTGAGAAGGAATCTGGTGAGCTGGAAAGGAGAGGTGTCCTTTTATGAAGCCTATGTATCAGCTAGAATATAACATATATTTGCAGGTTATATTATATAAAATCAACCACTCCATACATTTGGAAGTAAATGAATAGATGAATAGACCTCTCAAGGCATGGTATAAGGCTGCAATATTGAAGACAACTGTTTACCCCCTCTGTTTCCAATCCTTTTTGTTCTGGGGCATCTCATCTCTGCTTTCCGAACAGTGTGCAGAAAGTGAGAGGGGCTTTTTTTAACATCAAGACTCTTCCTGTGGCCCTGAAGTTTTGTGTACCCAAACTGCAGATCAGTGAGAGCCTGTCCAGTGTCTCAGAAATATCTTGAAATAATGGGAAGTTGTCCAAAGAGGCTCCACCTACTTTATGGATGTATAAGTAGGAGCTACAAGGCAAGTTAAACTACATCTCCTAATTTTTTTCTTTTCATGGAAAACCAGGGAAAACAACAAGCAACGATGCAGTTACTGTGGCTGTTGACAGAAGTTTTCTTGAGCAACCCTTCACATTCAAGTACATTCCTTCCACATGCTCATTGCTGTCTCTCACTTTCAGGTTGTGCTCGACACTTTCGTTGTTATGTGGGTAGTGCTGCAAACTTTGGAGGAGAAACATGGTGGAACCTGAGGAAAACCTGCTACCAGATTGTCGAACACTCTTGGTTTGAATCCTTTATCATATTCATGATTCTTCTGAGCAGTGGAGCCCTGGTAAGTGTTTCACTTTTCGTGCATTTCAGCACAGTCTCGTGTATCTATTTAGAAGGATTTCTGGCTTTAATCAGAGATGTTTTTAGTAACAAATGCAGTGAATATCTTTGAATTCATAAGGAGAAAACAGAAGAGGCTTCAACAGCAGTCATTCACTATTTTAATTATTGCAAATCTATTATTCATATTATTAAAAATTATAAGAGAGCATGAGCAAAGCTAAAAATACATAAATCTCAGAAGCTGTTTCTATTCTGGCTGTATATTGGATTTTTCTCAGGAAGTTACGTCACATTTGTGAAATATTAAGGAGTTTTCATACCATTAAAACAAACAAGTGACTCTTAATACTTGGGGGGAAAAAAGTACTTAGTTCTCTTAAACATATAAATTTCTTATTAAATTTCTAAAAATATATACTGTCCCAGGCTTTCATTGTGCATGATGGGTGCATCCACAGGGTTGTACTATACAGAGAAAAAGAAAGAGAAGGGGCATGGAGAATTATACTTTTATCATCTGACATATGACTAACACATGGTGTTTAGATCTGTGTTGAAACATATTGAATGATAAAGAGGTCTTAATGTTGCTTGACTTTGATTCTATAAGGTTCATTTCCGACTTCTACCATTTGTCTATATATTATGATTTAAGGCATTTGAAGACATCCATTTACCAAAGAGAGTCAGAATTCAAATGATACTGGCATTTCTTGACAAAATGTTCACTTACATCTTTGTTCTGGAGATGCTTCTGAAATGGGTGGCTTATGGCTTCAAGAAGTATTTCACCAATGCCTGGTGCTGGCTGGACTTTCTTATTGTAGATGTAAGTTTTGCTTTTGGTGCCTGATTATTTTCTGGATGTAAATTTCAGACACTACTCTTACTTCCTGTAGTGATGGTGTCAGGATATTGCACTCCAAGCATGGAAACTGCGGGGAGATTTGGTTTTGTTTGTTGGTTTTTTTTTTTAAATTGAAAATAAAGGAAACAGATGACAGGACATTGTTAATATTTTCTTTTGTCTTCCTACTCAGGTCTCTTTGATAAATCTCTTTGGCAGTTCGTTTGGCCCAATGAAATCTCTTAGGACTCTCCGAGCTCTGAGACCCTTAAGAGCATTGTCACGGTTTGAGGGAATGAGGGTAAGACTGATTAAAAGTTAGACCTTCAGAGCTTTTCAGATAACAAACACAACAGGTTTGTTACTCATGGCTGTGTCTTTATGAAGTTCACATGTCTACCCTGAGTTCCATATAGGAACTGTAAAATGAATTTTTAAAGAGGCCCTTGCTTGTGCTCTTCTGTACTTGGATGTTCCTTATGCACTTTTCTGGAGTGATGGATCCTAAGTCCTGTTGAAACTAAAACTAGCCCAGATGGAATTTTGTTCCATTGCTGCTTAGTCATTCTTGTGTTCCTGTCTTACTAAGATAAGCAAAAATCAAGTAGAGATAAAGAACTATGAGCACTATTCTCATTTCTGAAGTCTGATGGAAAGCTAACTCAGAGGAAAGAGTCACTTCCCTTCTACAAGTTTTTACTGGATTGATTTACAAACACTTAAGACTATTAGAAGGTGCTTTGCTCAAATTATCGTTTCAAATAGACTTGTTTCACAAATTAAGTGCTAGTATGTAGAATATTTGATGGGGGTTTTTTTCCATCAAAGGAGCACCTGGAACAATGTGATGCTGCTGGACATTAATTACATTTGCTTACAGATCTACCATTGTGCAAATGCAGAGGGATTCCCATTGTCATATGATAAAACACATCTGTACACTGCAATGGGAAACAGTAGGACAACCACAGTGGTATTTAGGGTAAAAGTCTGGTCTACAGAATGTGCTCTGGCACATGAAAACAGATGATAGAAATACATATGGCATCACTGTCACGCATGTACATAGGGAATGGTTTTAAACTCAGAGATTGAAAATAGATTTTAGGAAGCAGTTGTTTCCTGTGAGGCCCTGGCACAGGTTGCCCAGAGAAGCTGTGGCTGCCCCATCCCTGGAAGTGTTCAAGGACAGGTTGGACGAGGCTTGGAGCAACCTGGGCTAGTGGAAGGTGTCCCTGCCCATGGCAGAGGGGTGGGACTGGATGGGCTTTAAGGTGCCTTCCAGCCCAATCCATGCAATGGAATGCAGACTCAAGGCAGCTGAGTCATATTGCTTTTGGATATTTTCTGGAAGTGAGACTGAAAGCTTTCTTCTTGCAATCATGTCACTGTAAAGACAGAGAGAAATGGCATTAAATTAATTAACAGAAAGTATCAAAATTTCCATGTCTGGAGTCAATTTTGAAACAGATGACATCATACTTTCTGTCTTGCCATGCAGAATGTGTGTGACATGGTCTCCAAAACCTTCACAAAGCTTTTTAATTTTTCTGCTGGTCCATCAAGTTGTTCTTTGCTGCCTGACAGCTGAGTTCACTGCCTTCACTGTGTAACTCAAATGTATATTCTCATAATTTCCTTATACTGTCCTATTTTATAAAGCAATCTGTCATATCCTAGCTTGCTTTTAAAATCTACATGGACATTTTCTGTAGTTGTACAGCACCTAGCACAGAAAAAGTACCTAGCCCATGATTATAGATCCCAAACACAATCCTAATCCGCTAAAAATAATAGATGCAACAAAATTCTAGTGGAGAGTTATTACTGGTCCTTTTAAAAACTACTTTTGACAGTCTTAATAATACAGTCCTTTGCACTAGTGCTTATGGATGAATACTTCAGAAATTTAATCTTATTAAAGTTTAAAACAAAGAAGCCAATGGACTATCCCCCACTCCAGAACCAAGGGAAAGTAAAAAAAAAAGAGGATGGACTCACATTTTAGCATACTTACGTAGTAGGGGCTCACAGCAAACCAAAAAGTGTCAATTATCCATTTTAAAGCCTAAGAGGTACTATGGACACTGTTCAAGATCCCCCTGCCAGCTGTGACTAGTAATGACATGGCAAACATCAGTTTTTGTTTGCAGAGATGACTGACTGCTTATCGTTGATACCTGAGCCCATCTTTTTTGAAGCATGTTTTTTCCTCTCCCATTTCATCTAAGGTGGTTGTCAATGCCCTCCTGGGAGCCATCCCTTCCATCATGAATGTTCTGCTTGTCTGCCTCATCTTCTGGCTCATCTTTAGCATCATGGGAGTGAACCTCTTTGCTGGGAAGTTTGGGAAATGTGTCAACCTGACAGAAGAAGATTCCACATTAAATGACATGATCAAAAACAAATCAGACTGTGAGAATTACAATAACACGGGAAAAATATTCTGGGTCAATGTCAAAGTCAACTTTGATAACGTTGGCTCTGGCTACCTGGCTCTTCTTCAGGTGGTAAGTGCTGCTTTCCCTCAGTAGCAAGCACCATGTCAGATGGGCTTGACCTTCTGTCAGCTCCTAATTTATCTCTGTGGGTGATGCAAGGAGTGAAATATAATACAGATTGCCCTTTCCATGTAACTGGCTGTTCAGGCACACAAATGGGAAAAGGGGCACAAATGAGACCCTGCTGCGATTTTGCAGATGACAAAGTAAGCATCTGGTGGGCAAGGGCTGTTTCAGCCTCCAGCAGGTTCACGATCCTGAGAAATGGAGTCAATCTCAGAAGAAAATCTGGGGCAAATATTGACCTGTCCCGTTGAAATATGGATTTGTTCAGCAATGAGGGTTGCAAGGCCTTTAGTACCATGCTAATGACATTTTGCTCTCTCAGCATCCTAGAACACCATGTTCTGTCCCACCCTTGCCAGCTTTCATCTCCTAATGAGGCTGAGAATGCCCCACATAAAGCTGCGGCCTGACCTCGGTGCTCTTTGTGTGTGACCATACCAAAAGCTCGTGCTCCAGTCAGCATCATTTGGATATTGCAAATTATGTGAAAACTTTTGTGGTCAAGGTTCAACACATTTTTCATAATCTCTCACTCTAGGCAACATTCAAAGGTTGGATGGACATCATGTATGCAGCAGTAGATTCACGAGAGGTCAGTCATTGTACTCAAATCATGTTTTTTGTTGATGCCACTGCTTCCTGCAAATGCATTATTAGTTTTGCACTTCTACGACTGCTGGTTGTCTGTGCTAAATCTTTCCAGTAATTATTTATTATCAGTTGATGTAAACATTTAATCTGCAAATGAATCACAGAATCCTAAAGCTCCTCTGTTGTAATGGGGGCAGGGTTTCAGCTCAGATCCAACCACCTAAATATAGTTCCTCTAGTGTAAAGTTTCCGTGTAAGTTCCTCTCCAACTGCCCTGTGTGGTAAATGGAGATCTAATTGATATGCTCAGAGGGATCTAGAGAACATTTCAACTCACCTTGGATATTTATATTGTTCAGATGAGCACCACTTTATGCTACATTTACTCTGCTAATAACTGGATGTCCATCAGCTAGAGGGGAGCTGAGTTTCTTGCCAGCCACTTTTAAACATCTTTTATGAATCTCAAGCTTGGAGTAAACCTGAATGTTTTACACTGACATGGTTTAAAGTCCACTTCAAAACACAACCCCAAACTTCCTCAAGGATCAAACTATTGTGGCTAAGCAGCCATTTGAAATACATTCTGAGACATCGATAGCACTATTTTGCCTACCTTTTATATTGCCAGACGTGTTTGTTGTCTTATCAAAAGTATCATCCAATGTTACACACAAGAAAGTGATATGTCTTTGGAAGCAAAGAATTTGAAATGAAGAGGCTATTTTTAATTTCATCATGAGTTCAAAGGAATCAAAGAATTTTAAAAGTAACCATATATTAAAATGGTTTTGGCTGTGTTTCAATTTTTTTTTTCTTTGTGCTTCAATATGAAAATTTATTTTTCTTCTGATTTTGTTTTTATTCATAATAACCATCACAGAAGTTTTGGCTAAGAAAGAAAAAAAACAACAACATAACTAGGACAAGATTTTTAATGGCAAGAGCTTGGAAATTGACTTCTAAATAGTTCGCTTGATTTTTCAAGTGCTGAGCAATTTACAACTCCTGTTCTTATTGGAAGGAGCTTCTGAAATGTTAGTGAAAATTATGGCAAGAATATTTAATTCAGTAACTTTTTCTACTGCTTTTATTAGGACCTCAATCAATTGCAAGTGGTGGAAATTTAGGTCAGGTTTGAAAAGAAAACAGAACAAAATCCACAACAATTAGTTTCTGTGAAAATAGAAAATAAATGAAAGTAAACCTAATTTACTCTTAATCAAAGACTAGGTCATGCTCTACAACTTTTTCAGTGGAAATATATTCAATAATAATGAAATTTTTGTGTTCTACAATGCTTTAGCCAGAAACTACATAAACAAACACTGTAAAAGAAGTCAAGTTAACAAGTTTTCACAGCAAAAACACTTTGTAGTACTATTATTTCCAGATGTATTTTCTGGTTAGTTACGTCTCAGGTGTTTTGCTTGGTGTATGATTTCATAAAGTTCAAGTTGAATTCAAACAGGGTAGTAGTCAGCATCTGAGCAATAATGTTCCTATAAGGTCCTAGAATTCTGATTCATCCAGTAGTCACAGTATGATTGTTAGTTTTGTCCCCTTTCAAAACTGTCATATACAAGTAAAATTTGGTGTTATGCACTATTGGTAGTTTTAAACCATACCAATTTTATCAGAATTAGCAGTAAGATTATAAATTGTAGTTCCTCCTGGAATCAATTTGAGAGAGGATCAGCAATATGAAGATTGTTTTGAATTAGGCCCATGTTGTTATTGGTTATTTTTCAAGTTGCTTCTTATTCTTTCAGAAAGATGACCAGCCAGAGATGGAGCACAATCTGTACATGTATCTCTACTTTGTGGTCTTCATCGTCTTTGGATCTTTCTTTACCCTGAACCTCTTTGTTGGTGTTATTATTGACAACTTCAACCAACAAAAGAAAAAGATAAGTATATTGGTTGTGTTTTGAATTTTAGACTTTGCAACTACAATAGTGCCGCTTTCTCACCAAATAACAGTGACATTTCTTTGTATACTTAGGTGGGGAAGATATCTTTATGACAGAAGAACAGAAAAAATACTACAATGCAATGAAAAAGTTGGGATCCAAGAAACCTCAAAAACCCATTCCGAGACCACTGGTAAGACAGTGTTCTTCAAAAGGAAAATGTACTGCAAAAGTACAATTTAATTCACTGAAAAGTGCATGTGTTCGTATATTGCATGTAAATTATTTATACTGTCTTTACATTGATACTCACACGGTACCCTAAAGTCAATTCCACACCAGAAAGTTGACTGAATTATTTTACAGGTTAAATATTTATTAAGTTCTCTGCATAAATATCGTTAGGTTTTACATTCACCTTGGAACTGATTAAACTTCAGGATGAAAAGGGAATTTTAATGTCATTTTTATGTTCTGCCTTTCTCAAATCTCTCCTGACTTCACTGTAGTTGAGTGACTTTGTGACATAAAACCTGAAGCTGCTGGAAACCTGTACAGATGAGTACTCCCTACTTCCATAACTGATGTCAGATATATCTTTTTTTTCCTCTAGAACAAATACCAAGGGTTCCTTTTTGACATTGTAACATGCCAAACCTTTGATGTTGTCATCATGGTTCTCATCTGCCTTAATATGATCATGATGATGGTGGAAACCTATGAGCAAAGTGAAACGAAGACGATTGTCCTGAACAAAATCAATATACTCTTCGTTGTCATCTTTACTGCAGAGTGTGTCCTGAAATTGGTGGCTCTGAGGCAATACTATTTCTCAAATGCCTGGAACATATTTGATTTAGTGGTTGTTATTATGTCACTTGTTGGTAAGTAAAATTGTCTGGCAAATTCTTTACTGAATCAATTATTACTACTTACGGAAAAAAATAGGTAAAATTTATCAACTTCAAATGGACATTAAAATGTAAGTCATAATGAAAAGACTTAAGAAAAAAAAACCAATCCCACTCATCCCCTATTTTTTACATATATATATATATATAAAAGACAACTCTTACACTAAATCTTTCATAATGGTTCTTTAGGTTGTTTTTTCTCCCTAGTCTGAAAGATAGAATGAAAAACCCACCATAGCAGTATCACATTATGTGATAATTCCATTGATACAGACTTAATGCCAACTAAGAAATCTTCAAGTAGATCAAATTGCTGGTTTTTTTCATGTTTGTTTGTGGCAGACAACTGAAATATATAGAGAATAGGAAGACTGGAATTAAATTATAGACTACAGAATTCAGTTTCTACCAACTCAGGCATCATTGACTGAAAACAAAGGTTCATACTGTTAAACAGCACAGAAAAGATGACCAAAAATGTGTTAGCTTTTATTTGAAGGAATTGCAATAGACAAATAAGAAAAAGAGCTCTTTTGCCAATTTGACCTTTCTGCCAATTTAACTTATTCCTAAGGCCAGTACTGCCAAGTAGCAGAAGGCATCTAGGGAAAGAAAAAGAAATTGTTTCTTTAGTATGACTTATGTTTTGGGTAAGCAAAATTCCAGTAAGACTATGGCTCTTTCTTGAGAAATTAAGTTTCTGAGAAGGAATCCAGAAAAATGTACCCAAAACAGGTAAACCTAGAAAAGCCAAATCTCTTCTAGTGCTACTAGATGTAATTTTTTTTCAATCAAACAAGGAAAAAAAATAACATCCATGTGTAGCTATGTCCTGGAATGAATTAAAAGCCATTGTAGAGTGGTACACACAACTTCTGTGTTCATCACTGTGTTTGCTTATACATATCTTGCCTATATTATCTAAATGATGACCATGACATTGTATTATATCTTGTTTTCTTAGTTCAACTGTATAGTGCCAGTATTGGGAGTCAAATATAGAAAGTAAGAACATAACCTGCACCTGCTGATGTATTCATGCAATCAGTGCCAAAGAAAACCATCAGTCATCAAGCGTCAACTGATATTTTAAGTTGTGCATAGAAAGGTGCTTGCAATCCTTAGTGCAAAGGATCTTCTAATGGCTGAGAAATGTAGTTCTCAATTGCTGATTTCTACAACTATATTTTCAACTCAACTGCTGGTAAAGGTTGTTCTGGCAGGGTCTCAGCACGCACACCTCAGATATTTTCCAACTGTGGAGATACTGTCATTCCATCCCACTTACCACTTAAGCAGAAATGTGATGTTCTAACCAGTTGTTATCCTTTCCATTTTAGCCCTACTGCTTTCTAGCATCGGCAGAGCATTTGAGCATATCTTACCACCCACACTCTTCAGGGTCATTCGCTTGGCTCGGATTGGACGAATACTGAGACTCATCCGGGCTGCCAGAGGAATTCGGACTCTGCTTTTTGCCTTAATGATGTCCCTGCCTGCTCTGTTCAACATTGGCCTCTTGCTTTTCTTGGTCATGTTCATCTATGCCATTTTTGGTATGGCTAACTTTGCCTATGTGAAGATGGACGATGGCATTGATGACATGTTCAACTTCCAAACCTTCGCTAACAGCATGCTCTGTCTCTTCCAAATCACCACATCAGCTGGCTGGGATCTTCTTCTCAGTCCTATTTTAAACACTGGGCCACCATACTGTGATCCAAGCATACATGGTACTGTAGGTGAATGTGGTAAACCTGCCACAGGTATTATATATTTTGTAAGTTACATCATTATATCATTTCTCATTGTTGTAAACATGTATATAGCTGTTATTCTGGAGAACTTCAATGTTGCTACTGAGGAAAGTACAGAGCCTTTAGGGGAAGATGACTTTGACATCTTTTATGAAATCTGGGAGAAGTTTGATCCTGAGGCAACTCAATTTATAACTTTCTCTGCGCTTTCAGATTTCGCAGATGCTCTGGCTGAACCTTTACGTGTACCAAAACCAAACAAAGTTGAACTCACAGCCATGGACCTGCCTCTGGTCAGTGGGGACAAGATACACTGCTTGGATATCTTGTTTGCATTTACCAAGAGAGTGTTGGGAGATTCTGGGGAGTTGGATACTCTAAAAGTACAAATGGAGGAGAAGTTCATGGCTGCCAACCCATCAAAACAGTCCTATGAGCCAATATCCACCACACTCAGGCACAGACAGGAGGAAGCCTGTGCCACAGTCATCCAACGTGCCTACAGGAGTCACCTGCTCCTACGCTCCTTAAAACAGGCTTCTTACCTGTACCACCGTAGAACTTGCAGTGCTGACACTCTGGGAGAGGCTGCTCCAGAGAATGAGGGACTTATTGCATCTATGATGGCTGCAAACTATGGTAGGAGTCCTAACAAGTCTGAAACTTTGTCCTCAGTATCCCTTCCTCCTTCGTATGACAGTGCCACAAGAGAGAGTAGTGGCAATCTTGTGGTTGAGAATGAAGAAATAACAGGTAATCAGCAATCTCCAGACATTAAATAGTTCATCAGTGACAAAGTCGTTAAGAATGTTTTTAAATGTTCACAGAAGATGATACTGTAAATACGTGTCAGCTGAGGCAGCCTCCCTGTGAAAAGAAGTCTGTTAGTGGGGATCAGTTACTTATGGTAGCTGGTGAATCATGGCCTTTGGCTCTGCTGAGTCCAGTTTTCTTCAATATTTACATATTTGGAGAAAGGTTTTGGATCTGTTTGATCGAGGGCATCCCACTGCAGAGCAGGTCCCACAGGACCCGAGTGCTGCAGCCTGTTCACAGCAGTGACAGATGACCTCTGCTGACACTTCCCTGGTGCAAGAAGCAGAAAAAAGCCCAAGCACCAATGGATCTACTGGAGAACAGAAAATGAATATTAGCATCAACTGAGGAATGGAAAGGAGCTAAAATTTACTCTTATTCCATTCCTAATTGACACTTTCATTTTAAACCTGTTTAGCAATTGGCTGCTGATTTTTTAATTTATTTTTTTTTCAATGTTTAGGGACAAATGTGCCACAAACATAGACCCTGCATGATCCACAGATATGCCACAGTATAGTGGACTTCTTCCCATGTGATCAAGTTACAGAATAAGTCATGGCATGTGTGTTATTGTAGTTGTGTTATTGAAGTTTAATGAAATAATAAATACAACTCCTAGTATTACAGAAGTTGTACTGAGCACAGCAAAACCTTGCTTTATGTTTTGTCTGTGAAGATTATTTTTTTAACCTGGTTTCCTCTGGCAGTGAAGTGAAGGTGGCTGTGCCCTGTATCTGTCAGTCACCCCATAACAAATTGTGTTCATTTCATTCTTTCCTCAAACTTCACCTAATGGATAAGTTTTGTGTTCAAGTTAATTCCTGACGATGTGGTAGAGAAGAGAGACAAAAATAAGCATTTCCACTGGCAGGAAATTGGTAGCATCACTTCAGCTACTCCCTTAGACACTAGAAACCAAGGCTGGGGAGCTCCATGTGGGACACATCAGAGCTGTCCTTGCTTATGGTGGTGAGCATCATCCATTGCCATGGTATGAGGCCTAAGGTAGACATGGCAAATTGGAGGTAGGAGCCTTTCCCCCTTCTGCCTGTGCTTCTCTGATGGGAGAACCAGCTTTCCCTCTCCTGCAAAGATTAGAAGCAACCAAAGTATGAGTAATGTGGGCAATTAGGAAACCTGTGTTGAAGCATTTGGGTCTGGTGTTAACACGAGACTAAGGATGTAATCATAAATTCTATTTCTCATGAAACTACCTGTGCAGATGGTCTCTCATTTCTCATGGTCTCTCATCTCACCTCACTTTCCGTACAAAGTCCTTTATCTTCATGCCCTCAGAGGTTGGGCTTCTCAGAAAAACACATGGCCAATTGGTATTCAGTCTTTCATGCTTTGTGCATGCACTTTGGAGATACTTCCAGCTGATACACTTTGCTGTCGAAGGACTGTTGTATTTTCCTTTGTCAGGCACTAGACACAGTCATAAATTACCCCTGACATTTTAATTTCTTACTTAAACTTCAAACACATTAGTTTAAGATGTTTTTTACTTTTCTTAACCACAAGGTTGGAGCTGAGCGTTCAGTGTTGGGTTTGGCAGGTTCTGGCAGAACTCAGGTGGGCTTTTCCCTCCACACTGATTTCATCCAGAAAAGAACTTGGCTTTTGCGACTGAGTGGGACCTGCTGTGCACTTTGCTTGCAACCTGCAGCAAGTTCTCTTATCTCTTCAACACCCTTTCTCTATTGTAGTAGTTATGTGTCCTGTCTTGTGTCACTTTCTTTTTCTGCCTTTTTCACCTCTTCAGATTGTGAGGGTTTTGGACAGAAATTCTCTTTTACTATGAATGGTAAATTACATCTAATAACAAGACTCTGTTTTCAGTTAATATTGTCTGATGACTGATGCAAATAAATAATGTTTATAGTACCTTTTAATTTCCTCTGTGGTATTCCCTTACCTATCCATTCCTGGAATCACAGCATCTTTACTTAATTTTGATTAATATTCCCTCAGATTTTAAGGTAGGTGCACAGTGAATACGTGTTGTACCAGAGAAGTCAACAGCTCTGTGCCTTTGGAACCCAGGGGCTCTATTCCTTCAAATAAATGATAAAACCAAAAATACAAAATAATTTTAAAAATTAAATTTAATTGGCTAAAATAACTTCTTTTTAACCACTTTCCCAGTTTGTGACCCGTCACAGGTGAGGAGTTGACTACATGGCACTTGTGAGATGGTTTTTACCAGCTCCACCTGTTCGAAGTCAGCTTCCCAAGATGTGCAGGATCCATCGAGGAGCAGTAATGAGCCACATGCATCGTTCTCGTTGGTTTGGGGGTGCACTGAACAGTCCTGACATCGTATTCTCCCAGGAGATTGCATTGAACACATCCATTCCTAAATGTGGTGCAACTCAACTTTGCCAGTCTGTCTGTCAGGAAGGGTTTTTTCAATTGTAAAAGTAGTTTATTGTTTGTCAGCTACAAACAAGCCTCACTGACGTCCATCTCTCTGGGAAGACCACCCTGAAGCTGAGCCAGAGCTCCACCAGTGTAGGAGATCAGATGCACAGGATCACTTTGTAACCCTAAATGAAATATTTGTTGGTGCAAGAAATGACAAGTACTCCCTAGGGTGAATTTTATCTTTTGCAGAAACTCTTCTGAGTAAAGGTGATATTGTTTAGGGAAGACAGTTCTCTTGCCATGTTCTTTAATCAGAGAATCGTAGAATGGTTTGATTTGGAAGGGATCTTAAAGACCATTTAGTTCCAATCCCTTACCAAGGGCAGGGACACTTTGCACTAGACCAGGTTGCTGAGGGTCCCATCCAACCTGGTCTTGAACACTTCCAGGGATGGGACATCCTCAGCTTCTCTGGGCAACCTGTGCCAATGCCTTGAATCACAGACTCACGGAATATTCTGAGGTGGAAGGGACCCACAAGGATCATCAAATCCATCTCTTCAGCAAATAGCCCATTCTGAAATTGAACCTACAACTCTGGCATTATTAGCACCATGCTCTAATCCTTACAGTAAAAAAATATCTTCCTTATGTCCAAGCTCAACCTGCCCTCTTTCAGTTTAAAACCATTGCCCCGCATCCTGTCAGTACAGGCCCTGACAAAAAGTCTCTCTCCATCTTTCTTATAAACCCTCTTTATACAATGAAAGGCTCCAAGAAGGTATTCCAAGCCTCAAGAAGGTCCCAACCGTTTGAAAGATAAAATTCTGAATATAAGCACAGCAATTAGAAAATGTACTCTTAGAAAATAATAATATTGCACATTCTCCTGCTGCTTCTTTGAATCTCCTAGTTTTGAATCCTATCGATGTCCATACTAAAATCCTAGTTTCCCATGATGGTTATGTGGCATACAGTCTTGTTTCTAGATGGATTGCTGCCCTTTTTGGTCATACAGAGCAATATTCTGTGTGTATGTCCCCTTTTAGTCATTATTCTGAGAGCAGTGCATTAACAGCCTGATCTCTTCAACAGTTTCCTCTTCCATAAACTGTATATCACTTACAAACTTTACCCCAAATTGTGTATTTTTAAAGAAGCTATTAGTAGAGACAACAAAAAATTGAGGCCTGAGAGCTTTTTCCTTTGACAGTAAATGAGAAACACCAGCTCAAACACATGATGTTTCTGTTTGTTCCTTTTGAACAAACCAACGATGAATAGACCAACAAAGGACATGAGATTTCCCAAACATATGGACCTCTCTGTAGTGGACTTCATTTTACCACCTAAAGCACATGCATTTTTTCACAGAAAATCAAAGTAAGGAGAAGCCTTGAATATTTGCAAGCCAGTCAAAAGAGCTAAAGGGAAAAAAAGAAAAAGGACTTAATGGAGCTAAAGAATAAAAAGCTGTTTTCTTCAGCAAAAAGCAGGACCTGTAACATAAGCTAGACTATTACCAGTGAGACTATCATTAATGGGATCATGTGAATAATGTAGAGTGTTTCTCAGCTCTTCTGCAAATGGATGGGGCTGCATGATATGAGACTCCTACTGCACATGAAAGAAAAGCAACATTTTCCTTCCCATTTGCCAGAGATCTTTGTAATTCAACAAATTTGTATGAATCAAAACCAGATCAAGTGCAGAGAAGCAATGCTAAGATAAATAACAATCCGTGATACGAAAAGAGACTCAGATTTAGTTTGTTCAAGCTAGAAATAACAGCTGAGAGGATACATCGAAGATATCAGTAAATAAAACAGGTGGGAAAATATGAGTGAGGGAGAAAAGTGTTTAAAAACCAAATTGAATATTCAGCAAGAAAATTAACCTAGAAATTAGAAATAGTTTCTGTTCTTCAGAGGATGGAGTCATGAAACTGTTTTAGCAGGAGGAGAGAAACCAGTTTGACTGGAAGGTGAATAGTTACACATTTCTTCAAGGAATTATGTGACACAACACTTTCCAGGAGATCTGTGACCCAGCAGGCCCCTTGGTTCCTGCTCAAAACTATTTCAATTTAATAAAATTGACCGAGATCTGCATCTGGACAACAAAACTTGTTGAATGCTTCCTCCTAGTGGTTTTTGATCAAAATGACATATTCAAAGTGAGAAAAAAAAAAAATAAAAGACAAAAGAAAAAATTGAGACCTCTGTCTCATGTACAGAGAATGAAACCCAAACAGGTAAATAAATGCCTGAAGAAAAAGTATTAGCAAAAAGCAGAGAGCTTAGAGGGAGTAGGAGGAAGGATTGTGCTAAAAGAAAGCTACTGTTTAAATATCAGAAAACAAAATGAGCAAGAATTTCTAGAGTAAAAGAGAACTAAACCATGAATAGGAAGCTGACACAAGTCATTGGCTACATAAGAAAGAAGAAGAAAAAATAAAGATGAGAGTTTGGTTTAAAATGGGGCAGAGATGAGGTTTTGGACCACTTTAGGCTTAAAGTTCATCTCTCTCTATATATGATAAATATCAGGTAAGAAATCTTCATTTTTAGTGAAGACGATAGAAAATGAGGGATTG